GTGGAAAGCGACTGAACTGGGTCTTGGAGTCCCTCCAAGACTTCGTGCTCTTCCTCCCCATAGGATGATAACTGTGCTTTGCGTGTCGCATTGACTCTCCTGGGTTCTTCTCACAACCCCACAGGGCTGAGAAGCCACATCATGATGACACGGGAAGCCCACTGGCCTGGAGTAAGAGGGCCAGGCTTGGGGGCCCAGTCTTCCCATGAATACGCCTCGGACCCCAGCCAATAGATCTGCCTTTGCACTGGAGGCGCTCGGGATGACATTACGTGATACTCAGATGAAGAACTTGTAGTTTTACATAGTTACCATCTGTTTATGGCAAGTGTATGCATTTCATGTAAGTTCCTACATGAATACGTTTATTTACACAAACAGATTTACATGCAACATTAAGTAGGAGATGAGCTCCTCCATGGATATGGTGAAAACTGTGAAGTCAGTCTAGGGAAGGATGTCGAGGAAGAAAATGAACATCTCAGATCCCATTTCTTACTCCGTACAGTGGGGTCACCAGCTTACCACAGTAACTGTGGGGGTCCGACAAGGCGAGAGCGAAGAGCATCACTTTAGGGCCGGAATCCTCTGAGTTAGGCAGCTAGGACTCCCATGGAGGGTGCCTGGGGGCCATCCAGCTCTCACACACAGAGGAAGTTTGAACTGCAGCGGGAGAGACTGAAGCGTGACGTGAAGAAAATTTTAGGGGACGCCTGGGTGGCTCAGTTGGTTAAAGGGTCTGCCTTTGGCTTGGGTCATGATTCTGGGGTCCTGGGATCGAGTCCCATGTCAGGCTCCTTGCTCAGCAGGGAGCCGCTTCTCCCTCTGCCTCTGCTGCTCCCCCTGCTTGTGTGCTCTCTCTCTGTCACTGACAAATGAGTAAATAAAATTAAAAGAAAGAAAGAAAGAAAACTTTTAGGTTGAAACATTTCGAGGCCCAGGAGGCCCCAGGAGATAGGAGATGGCTGGTGGGTGCAGGGGGTGCTTGCAAGGAGGGTGGTGAGACTTTCATGGTCTTTCTCAGCAAGGAGTCCCACACCCGTCTCTGGGATGTGCTGCTGGGGAAGTATGTCCGATGGTGGAGCAGGTCTGCCTGGCATGCGTGCGGGTCAGTGAGCGTGACTAGGGGTGGACAGAGGGGAGGTGGCTGTTAGATCCACTCCCACTCAGACTAATCAGAACAAACTAGACCCTCTTAGGGCTTTTCCAACTGGCCCCCGAGGGCAAGCTGGGTATGATTCGGTCCCTGTCCTGAGGAAGGACCTGAGGCTCTGGCACTGGGAGGCCAGAGAGGAACTCAGACCCCCACAGTCTGGGGACCAGGATTTAGTGGCGATCATTTCTAGTTCGGCATCTTCTCTGATTTGGCCCCTCTCCTTTGCTCCCACCCCACACTGTTCCCTCTGGGGACTGGGTTCCTGAGGCAAGAGAAACCCTGGGATCTGCGAAGGTCCCACGCTCCAGACGAAGACAGCAGCTTGCCCTCTGGCTCCTTCTCCCGGGGTGACATCATTCCCCTCGGGACTGGGAAAGGCAACTCGCTCTCAGTCAAGACCCAGCTGATGCCCCGGCCTCCCCGCCTCCCACACTTCCTTCTCCTCTGGTCTCCCCTCTCACAGCTGTCTTCTACCCTCAGTGTCAGCACCGCGGCTGGCCAACCAAGCTGGCCTGAGAATGGGCAAGAGGATGCGGGGCTTCCCTTTCCTTCCCCGGCTCTTCCTCTGTGGGGGGCAGGGGTGGGACAGAAGGGACAGGACAAGAGTCGTGTTTCTCCTTGATTGCACTGGGTAGATGAATGGAGTCCTGTCATTACTATGTGCTAAGGTCTACTGAAGAAGAAGTGTTCTGGAAGTTCTTAGGAAGTCTTATGATAACCGCCAGAACTCACCTCCAGGTCACGCATAAACACTTATGACCTCACCTCATCTGGCCAGAGCTGTACGAGGCAGAAACTCTTATTCCCATGTGGGAGAACCGAGAAACTGAAGAACAATTTAAATAACTGGTCCCGGTCATACAGCTACTACTATGTGGCCGAGCTGGGATTTGAACCCTGTGCCATCTGTCTCTAGAACTGAAGACCTTAACCAGTGCAGAATATCATTTTCCATTTCACCCCCTGTTTACTTAAATGGGGCCTCTGTTTTATGGGCAGCCCTGAATTCATACATACCCACATACATTTCTCACTGGAAAACCGTACAAAATGTCAGCATTATTTCTTCAGGATTTTTCCATACTGGAAGAGATTGAATGGGGTCATTTCATTCCTCCCACTGCCTCTGACCTGGACTGTGTTCAGCCTTCTGGAAGGAAGCCTGCAAGCTCAGACTCCTTGCCCGTTGGTGAAATGCAGCTGCGAGCCACATCCCTGACTCTTTCTCCCTGTGGAGTGTGTTACTGCCCGAGGGCAGCAGGTCTGGAGAGGTGACTTGGGGCATTCAGGGGTACTCAATATGTTTTCTGGGTGTGTGGCTGGGGCAAGGTGCTAGCTGGGTTCTGGGGAGACCTAATAATGCGTAGATCTCTGACCCTGCCCTCGATGGTAGATGCTCAATGGATGTCTCATGAACAACTGAGCCTTTAAATGTGTGGGGGTGCCGGGGCGGGGAGGTGAGTAGCACTCCAGGGAAGGGCATTTGAGGTGTGTCACTTAAGAGGTTCTGACAGCAGCCGGGGGCACACATATGGGGACCGAGACACGCTTCTGAGTGACATGATCACAGGAGCGTGCTGGGAAGACTGATCTGGTGGCCGGAAGCCTTCCAGGAGGCTTCTGCATTCCAGGAGACAGAAAAGCAGATGTGAGACATGTGGGGACAAGAGCAGGGGCCCTGGGTGGAAAAGCCAAAAGGGACTCTGAGGTCTAGGTTGGGGTGAGGAGGAAAGGGGTATGAGGGAAAGGGCAGATAAAGGGAAGTCAGAGAAGCGGTGAGCAGTTAGAGACCTGGAGGAGTTTGGTTGGAGGCTTAGGTCTCCTCCGACTCTGCCCTGGGTCTTCTCAGCTGCGGCTGGGCTGTCTCAGAAAGGAGAATCGGTCAGGAGGCTGGAAGCCAAAGAGGTCAGAGAAGGGGCCGTCAGCAAGCACAGCCACCTCCCAGGCTGCATCTCTTGCTGCTGTAGCTGCCACTCAAATGGAGCCTGCTTGCCCGGGCAATCTGGCAAATCCCAGGGTTGCCAGGGCCCCACCCCCACCCCCCCGCCCCTGACCACCACACTCAGCAAAGGCCTCCCAGTTAGTCCTCCGGGTGTTAGTGCTGCCGGCTCAGGAGAGCCTAGTGTGGTTCCCCTGCCCCCGCCAGGGTTGGGGAGGGCAGGGGAGGATTTGACCCAAAGCCTAAGAGGGTCAGCTGTCCGTGCTCCCCTGAGCACTTCTGTGCCTCCCCTCCCAATCCCTCCAGCTTTCCACCCTGTGGGCTTAGTTCTGTGCATTAGGACAAGGCTGGGAGGTAAGATGATCCCAGCGGGTCTCTGGGGGGCTTAAGAAACAGATGGTCCCCTCACGCGAGGTTTGCTGTTGGTAACATGAGCAGATCTGGGGAGGGAGCTGGCGGGACCAAGGCAGCTTGGACTGTGAATGTTATCAGACCGCATCCCCTGCCCAGCCTCCAAACTCGGCCCTCGCCCAAGTCAGCCTCTCAGCCCCTTCCAGCTGGCACCTGGGACCCGGGCCTTAGACGCCCACAAAGGGACTGGGGGGCTGGCCTCCAGTGTCCCCACTCTTGGCCCGAGCCGTGAAGCCAATTGGGCTGAGAAGGCAGGAAGAGCACGGGAGCCAAGTCTAAGAGCAGCTGAGGGAGGACAGGTGTTTGGAAGGCAGAGAAGGGGTGGGAAGAACTTCTGCAAACAGGAGCTTCCTGGCCTCCATCTCTCTCTCCGGACTGGCCAGATGTGCACAGCAGTGAAAGGAAACCCCCGGCCTACCCCTTTTCCTCGGGAATCTGGGCTCCTTGTCTTACCCTCCTGTTCCTTTCCAGCCTTCTCCGCTGCTCCGGGGAGGGCAGCGTCGCCCTCAAAGCCCAGCCCCTGCCCCGCCATCCTGAAGCAGGCAGTGCTCGGTAGTTAGGGCCATAGCATTTGGAGTGAGTGTCCCGTGTTTGAGTCCCAGCCATATGAGCTGCGTGTGTGACCGTGGGCAGGTTACTTCCGCCCCACCAGGGTTAACTTGTTAAAATGTGAACAATAATAGCAACCTCATAGGGTTTATACAAAGATCCTAAGAGGCGAGGGGCATAGAGCATTTAGCTCAATCCCTATTAAATAGTAAACACCTGCAAACTGTTGTGGCCGTCATCATCATCATCATCTCGGGGAGGCTCGGGAAGAGGAGGGCACAGCACATAAAAGGACAAGGATGGCCACCACAGCTGCGTGCACCCTCGAACCGGTCTCAGCTCCACCTCTTCTGTTGACCTTGAGCAACTTACTCACGTGCCTCCACCCCTCATCTGTAAAATGGCAACAAGACTAGTCACTAACTCATTGACTAGTTGGTGAGATTGAAGATAGATCAACTCGGGGCGCCTGGGTGGCTCAGTCATTAAGCGTCTGCCTTTGGCTCAGGTCAGGATCCCGGGGTCCTGGGATCGAGCCCCGCATCGGGCTCCCTGCTCAGTGGGGAGTCTGCTTCTCCCTCTCCCTCTCCTTCTGTGCTCTCCCTCTCTTTCAAATAAATACATAAATAAATAATCTTTTTTTAAAAAAAGATTAATTGATACATGTGTATGCGTAGTCACACACATGTGGCTGAGGACAGCACCTGCCTTAGCATGTTAGCGGCCATTCACATGTTATGCAGCCATATCAGCGTTGAGATTCCTCCTCCCCCAGCTCTGAGCTGCACTGTACTGGGCCCCACGGAGGTGGGGTCAGTGGCCGGCTGGAATGACCTGGAGGTGTATATGTGGGCAGTGGGGAGTCTAGGTTCAGGGCCAATGAGGGGCAGCGCTTCCCCCAGCCCTGCACGGCTCACTGGCCTGCGCTCTCCCTCTCGCCCGCAGATGTCCATGAAGGAAGTGGGTGATGGCTTGCAGGACCAGATGAACTGCATGATGGGCGCGCTGCAAGAACTGAAGCTCCTCCAGGTGCAGACAGCTTTGGAACAGCTGGAGATCTCCGGAGGGAGTCCTGCCCCGGGCTGCCCGGAAAGCCCCCGGACGCAGCCCGAGCCCCCTCCATGGGAGGGTGGCAGAGGTCCTGCCACGCCTGCAGCCTGCCCCATCTCCAACCAACCTTCTCTTGGCGCCAAGTTTCCGTCCCATAGCAGTGCCTGTGGGCAGGACCTGGCCCCCCTGCCCGGGGCACAGCGACCGGAGCATCGAAGCGGTGCCCGGCAGGGGCCAGAGCTGGTGGAACCGGAAGACTGGACCTCCACCTTGATGTCCCGGGGCCGGAACCGACAACCTCTGGTGCTAGGCGACAACGTTTTTGCAGACCTGGTGGGCAACTGGCTGGACTTGCCAGAAGTGGAGAAGGGTGGGGAGAAGGGGGAGGCGGGGGAGCCCAAAGGGGAGAGGGGCCAGCCCAGGGAGCTGGGCCGCAGGTTTGCCCTCACAGCGAACATCTTTAGGAAGTTCTTGCGCAGTGTGCGGCCTGACCGAGACCGGCTGCTGAAGGAGAAGCCAGGCTGGGTGACGCCCACGGTCTCTGAGCCCAGAGCCGCCCGCTCACACAAGGTCAAGAAGCGGAGCCATTCCAAGGGCTCTGGGCATTTCCCCTTCCTGGGCACTGCAGAGCCCAGAAGGGGGGAACGTCCTTCCACAAGCTGCCCCAAGGCCCTGGAACCCTCACCTTCTGGCTTTGATATTAACACAGCTGTTTGGGTCTGAGTCCTAGAGACAGAACGTTGACTGAACCCAACATGACCGGGTCCCAGTGCTGGGCCCTGGGAAGGATGGGGTGTGGGCACTATGGCTTTCAAAAGCCTAACTCTGAATTCCTTTCCTCCAGAAAGGAGGGAGAAGCAGCAAGAGTGTCTGGAGCAGGGCTGACCAGTGTGTGGTTGAGAGAGGCTGTGGTGGGGGCTGGCTGGTGGGGAGGTGAGGGCTCCTGGGCTGAAAGAGAGACATTGAGAGAGACAGTGGTGCTCACTTTGGGACTGCAGGTGACAATGAGGGGCTGGGGGAGGAGACCAGGCAATCCTGACATTCCTTCAGGGCCCGCAAAGACTTCAGTTGAACATTCTGTATGGATTAGGGCCCTGGGGTCTCAGGTTCCCCCAGAGAGGCCCCCGATCTGGCCCCAACCTTATAACCATTGGCTTCCCTGGCAAGGCACTGCTCCAGACACAGGCATGGAAACCCCAGCCCTCCTGGGATCGGGGTCAGCAGATTCCCACCCCCACTCCCTGTCGCCTTTAAGATTTCAGCCCGTACCCGGGTCCTGAGACATGGGCCGAATAAGGAGTGTACCCAGGGGAGTACTTGAGATAGCCCTATGTCTTTTCAAAAGCACAGGAAAGATATCTGTATAGCACTTTAAACGTTGGAAAGCCTTTTCATGTCATCTTCTGAGTAAGCAAGTAGGGCAGTTACCACCCCCATCTCCCAGGTGAGGAAGCCGGCCTAGATACGCCCCCTGCGGGCAGGAGGCAGACCAGAGCAGTGCAGCCCTGGAGTCACACGCGCTCCTTCCCCCCGCACCCCGCCTCCAGCACCGAACCCGCACCCCGGACACAAGCACACGGGCATCCGCCGGCGCGGCGAAGGTGCGCCCATTCGACGCGCGCACTCATGTTTGGATTCCCAGCCTCACCCCGCGGCCTCCCTCCCCGCTGGGCGCGGAGGCCCGTCTGGCCGGACCAGACCGGCGGCGGGGAAGGGGAAGGGCCGGGCGGGCAGCTCCGCTCCGATCGCGCGGCGCCTAGAGCTTTCCTGGAGCGGCGCACGTGGCCGTCCCGCCCCGCAGGGAACGCCCGCTGGCTGGGAAGAGACAATGCGGGTCCCTGTTTGGGCCCGGCCCCGCCCTGCAGGCCCTCCCCCTCTCCTCCCCTCGCCCCTCCCGGCTGAGCTCCCCTCCCGCCTGATGGGGGGTGACAGCTGCAATTAGACGCAAGCCGCCTTCCCGCCCTCGGAGCATTAACAGCTAACTGGAGGAGAAGAATAACAAGCGAGGCTCTTCCTGCATCCTGGACCCCTGGAGACCAAGATGGCGGAGGGAGGAGGCTTCGCGCGGCCCCTCCACAGCCGGAGGTGGGGCCAGTTAGGGTCACTCTCAGACCCCCGCTCAATCACGTGGGAAATGTTTAGTTCTTGGTGGCGGAAGCTACCAGACGAAAGGTGCTACTTCTAGGTATTTTCTCCAGTGCTCGCTATTTGCCAGGCAGTGTGCAGAAGCATGCCTTCCAAACTTCAGAATGACCCTACAAAGTACCATCTTCCCGGTAAATCAGTGGGGGCTCTTTAGGGGTCAGAGAGGCTGCCCAGATCAGGCTTCTAGCTAATGGAGGAGCCAGGATTTGGAACAGGATTGTCTGGCTGCAAAACGGCCTTTTCTCCTGTCCCCGGAGTTTGCTGGTAGAGCCAGCCCTTTTCTGGAGGAGCAAGTTCGCGCTCATCCTTTCTGTCTCCCCGGGGAACTGAGGTAGTTCAGTGCGGGGTGAAGCCCCATTGGCTGTGTCTGCCTTGCTGGGGGGCGGGGGGGGGGCGCGCGTGTGTGTGCGTGCGTGTGTGTGTGTGTGTGTGTGAGAGAGAGAGAGAGAGAGAGAGAGAGAGAGAAAAGGGTCCTCCCACTAGGCCGCGGTGAGGTCACCAAGCTTTCAATCCGGAATGATTCCACAGGAAACCAAGTCCCCTCTTGGCCATTCATCTGTGACCCATCTGTTCTGTGGACCGGCCATGGCAATCCGGACCAAGTGAACCAAACTTTATTGCACACCTCCCAGTGCCAGGCACTGCGACAGGAACTCAAAACAGCAAGGAAAAGGACCCAGCTCCTGGCTCAAGGGGTTCAGTGAGAAGCAGCAACTCCTAACCCATCGGTTGGCCAGAAGGGATCCAAGGGAATGAAAACTCATTTTAACTCAGGCCAGAACAAAACAATTAGGAGTGACATTTGCCACCAACAGAACTCCCAGGCATCAGGCGCCGCCATCTTTGTGTTCTCATTTCCTTCTCACCACACTCTGAAAGGGGCTGCTGATCCCCTTACTTTACGTGGAGCCGCTCAGAGAAGGCAAGCAACTTGCCCAAGGTCACAGCGGCGGAGCTGGGAGTGAACTGGTCGCGATAGACTCCCAGCCTGGTGCTTTGCACACTACCCCACAAAGTGTCCATTTCTGCTCCAAAAGCCAAGTCAAGAGGAACAACAACAAAACCTGTCCTCCCCATATTATCCATGCATGGATAGTAAATGGAATGCTCACTGTCCGGTGGGGGAATTTTGCCCTGGTCTTGACTGGGCTGGTGTAATGCCCTCATCACTAGGTCATGCTTTGCTAATGAAAGACTATGGCCAGTTCATTTACACACACACACACCACCACCACCACTAGTTTTTCCTTTTCCTTCTTTTTCTGGGCTTTTGTTGTGACAGGATGGAGAGTGTATTTCACTGAAGCTGAGGGGAGAGGTGAATGGGAATGCCTGGGGCCTAAGTGATGCAGGAAAAGTGTAGGGGTGGGGAGCAGCAGGATGAGGGGGAGGTAGTGGAAGTTAGCAGAGGGAAATTGACAGCTTAATTCTGCCCCTGGGGCTCATTTTATGGTTAATTAGGACATGCAAATAAGCTGGAAGCTCATTTAATACTCTCCCTGGCATGGAGCCCTGCCTCACACCTAGCCCACTTCCCTGGCAGGTACAGGGACCCCCTGATTGGCCCAGGCATCTGCCCAGGCCCCCACCTGCTTCTCTGTGGCTCTGTGGCCAGAGTGTGTCTCTAGATGTTCCCCCACCATAAGCAGGAGCTAGAAGAGTCCTTGCTGGGCCTGCCTGGTTTCCCTCCTTTCTTTCTCTTTCCAACCCTTCAGGACTGGGACCCCTCTTTCCCAGAGGGGCGTCCCCAAGCACCTCCCCTGCACCCACCCCTCAGGTTGAGATCTGAACCCAAACTTGCCCAGAGGAACAGAGACCTGGTTCGGCTCTGTCCCCACGACATCCCCCTTGCTCCCCGTCGGGGAGGGGGCACCCCATCTTTCCCAAGTCACACCATTTCCTACAGGGCCTCCATAAAAGCAAAAGCACAGCTTGTGACTTTGGGTAGCAGGGGCCTGTCTCCAGCTTTCAACGCACCTCAGGTCACCCCCCACCTTCTCCACCCAGAGCAGTTAAGGCACTTCTGCCAGTACAATGGAATGCGCACTGGATTAGGAGTCCTCCAGGATCTGAGACCCATTTCTGTCCCTGTCAGCTTGAGTATGTCGCTTGACCTCTCTGAGCCTCATTTTTCTTGTCTTACATGGGGATAATGCAGGGCTGCTGGAGCTTTGAAGGACGTCATGCACACCATGTAGACACAGCAGAAGCTCTCTACTGGGTCACCTGACCTTCGGTTCAGGCACTAACCATGTGAACCAGAGCGAAACTGCTAGAAAATAACAAAAACTTTCACTGGGGCTTGGTTTCCTCTTCTGTTAAAAAAAATGTATACTGGCCCTATTACCTCACCAGACTGTAGCAAGGATCAGAGAAGACAATAGGTTTCTCTATTGTCTTCTACTGTCTTCTCTGCAATGTTTTTGTACATGGTAAAAATATAACCCAGGTGGGCTGTTACTTGCGAAATGGCAAAGTTTACACTTTCTCATAGAGGATGACGTGTGTTGGGGGGGGGTGGGTATGGAGAGAGCAGCAGGGGGGCTGAGCGCAGAAATGGTGCTTGAGGACCCCAGTGCCTGAGGATGTGCTCTAGGGAACACTGCCACCCGTCTGTCCCTCACAGTCCCTCTGTCCCCAGCTGGCCCTCACAGTCAACCCCCGGGCCCTCACATTCCTGGCAAGGACTGGAGAGTTGAATGAGCCAAGTTCTGAAGGCTTTGAGAAGAGTCCAGCCCCTGATCTGCTCTCTGCTCTTTAAGGCCTTGGTCCCTAGAGTCCCTGCTAAGCTCCACACCTCACCCCCTACCATCCCCCCAGTCACCCTGGGGACTAATGGCCTAAAGATGCTAGTGGCTGTCCTGCTAGGATCCACTCCCCCCGATGGGGCTGGAGGTGCCCTGAAACCCTCTCTCACAGGAGGTCTCGGGGCCCAGGATGGTGCAGATGGAGGAAGGGCCTAGGAGATCCAGGGCACAAGGCAAGATAAGCACCTCAGACTGTAGTTACCCCCTTGGTACTATTTTTCTTTTTTTACTTTTATTTTCAAACTATGCTTTACACCCAACGTGGGGTTTGAACTCAGGACCCTGAGATCCAGAGTCGCATGCTGTACTGACTGAGCCAGTCGGGCGTCCCAGACAGCAGTCACCCCCCTGGTACTATTATTAGGATGTTCCTGCCTCCCTCTTACTTCCTCTACCCAATCCTTAGAACAAAGAGGATGAAGAGAACTCTCCCAGATTCACTCTGAATTTGACAAAGGACTTAGAACCTGCTTCTCTGCCCGTGCTCTTCAATCCGTCTGGACACGCCCACTGCCCACCACCTCCAAGCTTCAGGTGTACCCCACCCCCAATTCTGCCACATGCGCACACAGGGGTCACGGTGAAGTCAGCCTTGCCTGAAACATCCCTGGGTCCACATTCTATCCCCTCCTGAGCCCTCCTCTTTCTTCCTCCCCCTTCCTTCCTTTCTTTTAGGGTCCCCCCGCCCCGCCCTGGTCTCTCCAAAGTCATCTTTGAGTTTCTGGTCAGAGAGAGGCCCCTGAGGAACACTGAGGCAGGGAGCCCTCCTGGGGGTGCCTACCCCTCAACACAGTGCTTGGGGCAATCATAATCTGACAAGGGACTGCCATACTTGTTTGTGCTGCCTCTTGGCGGGGCCCCGGGTGCGGGAGGGAGTAGGATCTCCAGCTCCATATACTAAGGCCTCAGGCCGCAGCTGCTGCACTCCCTGGCTTCCACTCCACAGAATCCATTCTCTCTGGATCTGCCCCTCTGGGCATGGCGCCCAAGATGACCGCCCCATTCCAGGGATCTAGGAATCCCTGCCAAAAATCACCTCTCGCATGCTCGGCACCTCCACCCTCTCCTGCCCATGACCCAGCTCTGGGCTGTCCTCCCTGCCCCTCTTCCTGCCCTCTCCAGTCCCAGAAAGAAGCCCCCTGGCAGCCTCCAACTGGTCAGGGAGGGGGGCTTCAGACACAGCAGATGCCACCAACTGAGGCTACCTGGTGGCTCTCAGGGGCACTGCTTGTTGGGGGGTGGGGGGGAGGTGTCTCCCTCCAAGGGAAGAGTCCGGTTTTGTTTTCTGGTTTCTGGCTCTGCTGTCACCCCGTCTGGCCGCTTTCCCGTTCCTCCCGTGCCTCTCCCTTAGCCCCCTTCCTCTTCTCCTCCTGACTGGAGGCTGCATCTGCAAGGAAATGCTGCCCCTCGGCGGGGAGCACAGGGGACGGGAAGGAAAGGTCTTCAGGTTCTGTGACTTCATCCTCACCTGGCCTCACTGTTCTAGGTGTCTGGAGGCCCCGCCCTGCCCACTCAGACCCTGGGGGACTTGCTTCTTTATCCTCCAGGGAGGTGTGTTACTGAGCACTGCAAGCGTGGGCTCTTTGCCCCTAGGTCTTTCCATGGGCTGTTCTCGGAGACTCCAGGTTCCTCAAGGCCCCAGACTGGCTTTTTACTCAGCTTTCGCTGCAGTTTAAAGGGCACCTCCTCTGAGAAGCCCTCTCCAGGGGCCTCACTTGTGCCCGTATACCGAACCACAGGACCCACTTTCAAATCGCTCCCGTGCATGTTCATCTAGATCGTGAGCCCCTCTGGGGTGGCAAGTACTCATTACGCATTTCTGTATCTTGGTGTGACTGTGACCTCTCCTCGTTGTCAGGGTGAGCCCTCTGCCCAGCCCAGCTCCTGCATCAGGAAGGCCAGCAGTCAAGGCCTCCTCAGCTGCTCCCAAGGCCCACTTTCTGGACAGCTGACAAGCTCCTTCCTGGCCCCGTCTCCAAGCTGTGGTGCGGTCCCCTCTGCGCCACCTGGTACTTTGGCTTACTCCACCCTCGCTTCCCAGGTCAGTTCTGTTCTCCTGCAGGCTGCCTGGGGGCCCCAGTGTCCTCGGGCCGCCCAGAGCTCAGGCCCTTCAGATGGCCACCACAGCCGCTTCTCTCCCAGGCTGGCTCCGTCCCAAATGGGTCCCCATTTCCAGCCCAGAGGACATCGCTTTTACCCCAGCCTCCAAATTGTCCCCCTTTCTGCCTGCGCCCTCTACACCGGTCTTGCTGACCTGGCTCATCTCCTTGTCCATTCTGGCAACGACCTCTGGCTCCAGACTTACTCTCCCCGAGGAGTTTTTCCTAACCTGCCTTGCCAGGGATCCCCACCCCTCCTGGGGACATTGAGTCTGCTAGATTCTCCTTCCCCCATTGTGATTATGGAGGGTTAGGCAGGGCGGGGCAACGGGGAAGGAAGTTGAGAGTTGGGTGTTCGGGCTTCCCTACCTCCAGCCCCGCTACTGGCCACACTCCAGGCATTGTCTCCGGCGGAGGGGGGGACCGAGCTGCCCACAAGGCCAAATTTGTAGTCATTTGTGTAAAGTGGTGGGAAAGGGGAGGGTATCAGGCATGAATTTATTTTTTAAAGCAAAAAAAAAACAAAACCAAAACCCAAAAAAACCCAACAGAGATTCTTCCCAATGGGCCAAGTGCAGCACCTGAAATCCCTACATGGACTCAGGCTGGGAACGTGGGCCTAGAAGGGCCAGCAGGCCTGCGAGCACTCGCTCAAAGCCTGCCACGCACACTGCCACGGCGCAGGGGCGGCCCAGGGAGCCTGCTCATTACCACAGGGAGCACTGGGCCAGACTGACTTAGGCAGGTCTTAGAATCCCTAGTCTGAGGTTCCAAGCATCTTTTGAGATAAGTCCATTTATATAGCAGAAAATAAGGGGGTAGGCTCTGCATCTGAGATTTCAAGGGCCCAGAGAATTCCAAATCCTCTGGCCTTGGCTTCAGGACCCTGCCAGGAGTTCGGGGATCAAGTATCTTTAAACTTCTCCCTTAAAGGTATCCTTTCCCAAGAAAGGCAGAGCTCAGAACCTGTCCCACAATTCCATGCCCTAGTTTTCCCAACTGGGAAGGCTTAGCATCCCCTTAATCCCGGCAGCCCCTTCAAATTGCTCAACCCACCCAACTGGGGACACTGGTGATGCGACAGGAGCTACAGTGTGGCCTGTGCCTTCCCTCTCACCCACAAGGGAAGGCCTGGATGACGGGACCTTGGTGGGGAAGCTCGCAGCTACGCAACAGAGTGAATTCAGGAAAAGAGCCCCCTTCCTAGACTTCCCGATCACTGGTGGGTGCCGAGGCAAGGGCTGAGAGGGCCAGAGGCTGCGGTCTCCCACTGTGAGCTAACAGCAGGGGGAGGAAAACTTGGGAGGGTGTGAGGGTGGAACCCAGAGTTGCTGCATGCCCCCAAGGTGCCAAAAGGCCCAAGGGGAGCAGAATCGTGTCAGATAGAGTGGAGCAGCAGTTAATAAGGGAGATTTTTCTCTTCAATCCGAGTATCTTTGCCTGCCAGAGTATTTTTTTTTTTTTTTTACATACAATTTTTTTTTTATTCTTATGTTAATCCCCATACATTACATCATTAGTTCTAGATGAAGTGTTCCATGATTCATTGTTCGTGCACAACACCCA